ACTTGATCACGGCTTTCGCGAGGCTACGTCATTGCGATACGCATCCATCAAAAAGCGAAAGACCCAGCAAACAGCCGAACGACCGACCAACCCAGTGTGCCAAGCGTTGGGGCGTGAGTAGCACTTAAGATTGGCGCATTGACTGCTCAAATGGGCGAATATGTGCATAAACATCCAGGTCCAGTGGAGACCTGAAAAAAAAAACAAACAAAAAAAAAAAAAAGAACACGAACAAACAATAGCCGATGTCTAGTTGTAGTCTGAGTGCCTAGTCGCACAGCCAACTTTACACCGCACAGGTCCAAACGCGCGCTACAAATCTGCGCTACTCACGTTCAAGATAACGCATCGAACGCGTGATTTATGGCCTGTAATTGCCGCAACGCCGTAGCGCGTTTACGTTACACTCAGGCGTACATAACTCTTTCGACATACATATATACTCACCGGCCTGGTCGGCAGCAACGTTGAGAGGCCATGAAATTGATTTACATTCGCCATGCCAAGCGTTGCATCATCGCGCTCTGCACTTTGCTGTATTGTTTTTTTATAAATATGTGTACCTAGTTTGCGCCGCGCCGCTACGTTCATTTCCTTAAGTGCATCCGTCAACCTGACAAACGCTTTATTCGTTTTATTTTTGTTTTCATCCTACTATTTCCTTGCTTTCTGCTTGTTATTTACCTGCAAGCCATCGCTGTCAATCTATCGCTATTGACATTTATCAGCGTTTACATATGATTCCATTACATTTGACATTACGCACACATTACGCGCCGTAAACAAATCACAAATCCCTGATAAATCGCTTACAGCTCGCTCAAGTATTTGCTTAGCCACGCTAAACTGCGCGCTATATAGCGTGTTTAAGAGTGAAAGAAGTCATCAAATCAATAAAAATGAAACGCACACTTCAGATTTATTAATTCGTATTAGTGATTCATATTTATAGAGACGTCCATAAGATTTTACGCTGCTTGCAAAGCATTGCACAGTGTTTAAAAATTGTCAAGTAGTTAAAGAAATTATATAAAAAGAAGAAGAAACGTTCACTTCGGCTGCACCGAAGCTATAATTCCATTCAAAAATCAGAATTTGCTTTTGATTGGTTAGTTTGTATGGCAGCTATATGCTATAGTGGTCCGATCTGAACATTTTTTTCAGAGATTGTATCGCTGCCCTTAATTTGCTTACCCACATTTGCTATTTGAAGCGGGCAGACCAATAGAAGATGTTTCGAGGTACTGCTGTCGTTCAATCGTCATAAATACAACTCATCCCAACCTCTAGAGAATAATCATAACCTAATGATATTTCTGCCATTTATTTGCTTTGGAACATAAAAATCTTTTATCCACCTACTAATCTGTGATACTCTAATTAGAGTAAGCCTCTTCAAGGTCAAGCCATGTAAGGTATAGCCTGAAGATATTTTGTTTTAGATAATAGTTTGATTATCGGCATTAGGGTAAGTGAAGAAAAAAATGGGTTGACTGTTTAACCCAACATATCTGCTTCGAACAAATCGTATTCACTCAAACCAAAGCCAGTTCCACCTATATTATAAATTCTAATCTCTTTACAACGTTAGGCTTTCTTCATATGATTGGAATGGTTCCAGAATAGTGACAGAGAGAAGCACTTATTTTTCTGAAACGCTCTTGGTTCAGCAAGGTAGTGTCTCAGTAGTTTTTGGCTGTAAAAAAGGAGGATATTTTGGGACCACAAACTGATGCCCATATCAAAATGTATTTCTAGGCCTGGTGTTAAAAGCTTTTCATACAAAAGTAATAGAGTTTATATTGTGAAAAGTCTGTTTCTAACTAATATACATCTTCCTCTGCCAAATCGAGCAACTCTCTGCTCTTTTTGATCTGAGAACACCTCTCTCAAATAAAATTTATTATATTCCTTGGCTTTTATAGCTGCTGAGCTTATCTGCTGTATTATGAAATTAAAAGACGATGTAGCGTGTGCTTTGAACGGACTTAGCCATATAATTATTTTTCTTACTTAATCATTACATGTTAAAGATAAGAAATAATTTTTCTGCATTTATTTCGATCCAGGTTTTACTAACTCTCACACTGTGCACTGCTTCCGACTTCGGCACAATTCATAATGCGGCCACATTGATTGCATTCGTTATGCTCTTCGTACATTTCATTGCGTTTGGTACTTTACAGTTAACATAAACAAATATTTGATTATGCGATCTTCGCTTTTTATTGCTTCATATTTTTTCAATATCTGGTGTTGCTCTCGAGCAAATCTTAACTTTTAATCCACTTGAGAGTTGTTTAACTCTTGCTTTGTCATATCCGCTCCGCCGCCGTTTTCAATTGGCGCTCGTCAATTACGTTCAAGTTGTCTGAGCTGTTGAACTGCTGTTTCAGTAGTTAAATAATAAGCTTGTCGCGAAAATACAATTTCGTTTGCTTATTAGTCCAGTTTCAGGGTTTTAGAGCATCGTTTCAAGTTTTTGCAAAGATGGGATTGTGTTAATGATGTTCGAGTTAAGGTATTGATGATTTGTCTAAGATATTTTGCAGTTTCTTGTGTTTCTATATTCACACATTATATTTCCGTTGTTATGGAACACTGTTAAATACTAAGTGAATTTGACTTTAGTTAATAAATTGGAGACATTTTGAAAGTGCTTGACAACGGCAGAGAGAATCATTTGGGTATTTAAGAAAAATTATCTACAATCCAAAATTTTGAAGTTAAAATCCTTTCAAACATGAGTTTATAAAATTTATCTTGTTGTACTTGTATCATAACTAAAAAGCAATTCCCTGAGAAGTACCCAGGACATTTTGGATTTCATAATTCCTTTTCATTCTTTTTATAAAACTGAAAACCCATTGAACCTTTTATTCTTTTAGCCCGACAAATATAAATATTCCTTGGATCAGTTTCTTATAGGAAAAGCTTCGGACGATCAGCAATGAGTTACAAAAAGTTAAGCCTCTGGAGTTTTTAACTACAGACATATATGTACATATATATTTTATTTGTAGCAAATAACAACAAAGTACAAAAGATCCGACTCTAATAGTAATTACTAATGCCAGGTGTACTGTATTTTTAAATATCTAAGATAAATTTGATAAACCAAAAATACTTTCCAGACCGCACAATCTCTATTAAAATAAACAATAATATGTACCAACTCAACCCTATTATTATTATAAGTGCCAACTATCTGTCAAATTCATGGAAAGCTCAATTATATAAGCTATTTTTGAGTAAGCAACTCCATCTCCATTCCACTTTTTCCGCCTCTCTGCCTACTGTCTCCATTTCCCTTTCTTCCGTTCACTGTCTAATTGTCTCTATCTCTTTCTAACTGCCTAACTCTCTCTCTGATATCTCTTCAATAAATTTGTATGCACTGTTTGGTTTACGCATTTTGTTTGTCCAATCAAATAATTTTAGTATATTTTTCCAATCCTAAACAAACCGTCTGATTATTTTTTCTTTTCTCTTAAATGCAAACGCGCCGAATATATTATATAATGCTTCACTTCATAAATTCAAAAAGCAAAAAGTTTATCGGAGCTGTTTCTGAAACTTGATTTTTTCTCTCTTCTTGTTGTTACTATGTGAATGTTCTGGTATAATATATTGAACCTAATTTTATTCCAAGTAATAATTTTTCGAGATCTTGAAAATAGAAACAAACAATACAATAACTTTACTGCCTGATAGAAAACGACAAACCTTCGAAGGATTTTTTTATATGAATGATAAGTCGTTTATTGAAGAACAGAGGCGGCTTTAAACTCTAGAGACCGCTATTTACATATATGACCTTACAGCATGAAAAGCAGCAACAAAGTTGTATTGAATACAAAGGAACATATGACTAGTAGTAGTAAAGTGGTATAATAGCTTGGTATTCGATCTTTATTTGACTATGCCTGTCGGTCTGATTTATGCCAGTTGTTGCGATTGACTTGTACACCGGTTTATCCCACCAATCTATCTGATTTATACTAGTTGTTTATATTTTATTGTGCCAGTCCATTTGATTTATACCAATCGTTCGTTTAATTCGTCATTGTTCAAGGCTTAATTGATCGACAGCCAATAATGCATATTCAATTTCAAGCCACATTCAATATCAAACTTGCTGCAACAACTTTTCCCTGCAACTATATCAACTAAAATACCTACGAACCGCCGAATGAAATGAATACTCTTGTATACAAATCTACTTGCGCAACACAGTCTCAGCGCTCTAATCAACATCCATTCAAACGCCGGTGGCTCTCGTATAGTGCCGTATACTTCCGTCGTCTCGCCGTTACTGCCTGAAGACCAAGTCCGCAAGTGCATGGCATGGCTTGGCGGTCCTATGAGTAAACAATTTTTCATGCGCTGCTTTTGACCTTCTTTTCATCAATCAAGCTTGAAGTAACTGTAAATTTCAACAACATAAAAAAATCAAATAAAGCAAACAGAGCAACACAAAGCGCAGCGCAACAGCGCTAGCAGACCGCAAGGCGACATACAAGCCAAAGTGCAGGCAATTCACAGCAGTCAGGCGTGGAGCGCGACGCCAAGTGGCGTGAATGAAGTGGCCGCTTGAATTGTGCACAGATTTGTGGCCGCGTTTTGCGCGCTGCGTTGCGGCGCTGACATGACAACAGTGCGGCATATGTTTAGTAGAGAGCTGGTATGCAAAAAGTACATATGAAAAGCAAAAATCGCGCAAACTGATAGTGCGCGCAACATATGACTTCACACTTGCGCGCTGGTTGACGGCGCGCTTATAGAGTTGTTGCAAGTTGCAGCCGTTGTAGTTGACGAGTGTAGAAAGATTAATTTGGCCTGTTAAGCGATGCAATTAATTACTCGCAAGTCATCGTTTGGACTGCGTTTAGTGGCGGCGAACGCGGCGTACAACAAGTTATGCCAACGGCGCTACAAGCTGTAACGGCGCGCGTCAAAGCGCGTGGCAAGCATTGCGTCACATAATAATAACAATTTAATAAAAATGTAAACGAAAAATAATACTTTATTTCAAATGAACCTGATAAAGGCGTGCGCAGAACATTGCTAATTACATACATACATATAAAAGAAGTGGCAACGGGGAAGACGCTAAGCAGCATATTGGCTAATGACATTACTAAGCATTGCTGATACTTAAATCTATTACCATAGATAAAAATATAATTCAAGTATTATTCATTGTACGGCAGCTGCTCGTGAAAGGCGTCTAGAGCGGTGTCATTGACCGCTCCGAAGATCCATTTCATGCGCGGATTGGAGTTGTCGCACACATTCGCATAGACCGCATGCTCTTCGCCATCAACGAACGCCTCCAGACACATGTGTCCGCGTTCACCTTGCACCAGCCACTGATATTCGCGATCATAAAAGAAGAACTGGTTTCCACCCTGTTCATGGCATGACCACATCCAAACTGTCGCATTTTCTTGTATCGACTGCACATCCAAACAGCTTTCGCCGTCGTAATGCCGCAAATCGCGCGAAAAACTCAACTCCCAGTATTGATTGTTGTGCGGATGTGTTTTATTCTTAGCGCAGTAGAAGAGACCCACAGCTTCTTCGTTACCTCTATTCATGGTATCGAGGCAGAAGTGTGGATAGGCGCCGCTTTGCACAACGCCCGAGGCATAAGTTGGAGGGTTGATGGGTGGATACTTCACTAACATGTCAGGCGCTACCTCTTCTAAAAACCACTTAAAGGACTTGCAGTTGAGGCGTTCACGCACAGCGCGTTGCGCCGTCAAATCGCCAGCATCGACGGATGCATACTCCTCTGCGTTCCGCATGTAGATATACTCCTTGTACTCGTCCAGCCAAACCTCGGCAACGCGTTTGCAATTCTGTAAGTTAAAACCGCATATTAGTTGAATAACTGTATATTTGGATATATTTTGACACAACGCACCTTCGCAAAGAAGTTGTGTTTGCGCGGACTCGGTCGTTGCGCCATCGGTCCACGAAAGATGTGCGCCACACGCGAACACGGCACATCGAAAAGCATGCCACCACACATCCAAATTTTCAAGCTAAGCTCATACTGTTCCGCGCCCCAGATATCCAAGCCCTCATCATAACCACCTAACTCCCAGAAGAATTGTCGACTAATCGCGAAAAGTCCACCCATCATAATAGGATTTGGCGTAGGCGCTGTTTTGTTCAGCTCTTGTTCCGGCAGTAGTGACATTTGTTTGTAGCCAAATTTCCAATCGAAAGCACCACGTGAACCCTGCTGTTGTGCGCCATCATATTTGAAGTCACTATGATGGATAACGTCCACAATGGGACAAGTTGATATTTTGTAGTTTACCGCGATCGGTTCAATCAGTGGCGGTAGCCAATTGTAATTGCACTCAATGTGCGAGTCGAAGAACACTATAACATCGCCAGTAGCTGCGTGTGCACCCGCTAAGCGTGCGGTTATCAAGCCCGAGCGTTCGGACAGGCGTACGATTTTAACCAGATTGCCAAAGTGCTCCAACAGAAACTCTTCTAGTTCTCCTTTTAGATACTCACGATCGCTGTTGTCGTCAACGATGATGATTTCTTTCAACAATTCGCGGGGTGTGCGGTTGACGATACTGTGCAGTGTGCGCTGTAACACCGTGATGTGTTCGTTATAGAATGGTATGACCACACTGGTCGAGGGCAACTTCGCTAGGTAGGGTATGTGACGACAGCTATTTGGATGAAGAGGTTAATACAGTATAGGTTACAACATATCGTTTACTTGGAAAATTTCGAGAATTGATATTGGGGTATCTTCCCATTAGTGATGCTGAATATTTACAATACAGCTTCGTTATTAAAGTTTAGCAAATAGCGAGATCGATTACAAAAACTTAAAAAATATGGAAATTTATAAAATCAAATATGGTATAATTTTCGGCCGCAGAGACTAGAAGTTGGTTAGTCATCCTAAAAAATCGGATGTTAAGTTCGGATCTTCGGGGCCTAACAATAACAGATTTATAAATTTTTGACTCGCACTCGCTGGGTACACAAAAAGTTTTGCACAAGAATGAAGACAAACTTAAGTTGGGTCATAGCAAATACATAGAAGCAAGCTACAGAAACAAATTAAGCACCTTCCCGTCAAATTCATATACTTTGCTGACCTTGCATACTTACTCTTCATGCCTGACATCCGGCACCGATCTATTGACTGATATGAGGTCCGAGAGCAAGGCGTTGAAGCCATTGTCCAGCGACATTTCCTTCTCTAGCTCTTTCAGACTTTCGTCTTTTACATAAGCTGCTTCACCATGTTCCCCCAAACCCTTGCGCTTCGCATCACGTTCCATCAGCTCCAAATCCTCCCAATCTTTTTTCTCACCCACTGCTTCGGGTACTGTAAATAGTCCTTTCGCAATTTTTGTCACTTTCTCAGCTTTATCGCTCTTTGGAGCTCTTGCATCAACCACCGCTTGTGGTGGCGCCGCCATGCGTTGTTTTACCGGTGGCTTAGGCGGGCGGTGTGTGCGTATGCGCACACGTGGTACTTCTGGCGTGACGGGATCGCCATTGAAATCTGTCGCTACCGTGGTCTGCTCGTCAACATTGCGTAATCGGCGTTCTACCAGTGTTGTGGTGAAGAAGGAGAGCAATGCTATGGAGACTATGAAGTAGATCAGCTTGTTCACCATTCGCTTCACTTGACGCCGCCGCATTTTCACCATCTTGTAATGCAACTCTGGGTTCTGACCCCGACAGATGATATATGTATAAAAAAAAGTTTACAACCATTCGCTCGAAAAGTAAGACGGTATTGAACCACGCGACGCGCGCTTTCCAACTGCTAACATCTTTCTCTGTGAGTTCACTGCCAAGCTGGAATTGTCTTCAGATCGTGTTAGATTGATTAGTTTGCTGATAACTGTGAACTTGTTATTTACTATGTACTATTTCAGTACTTGTCAATTATATTGAGTGCAATCGACGAGGTTCCACATATGTTTTGATGATAAGACAATGGAGATATGTGTGTGTGTGTATGTGCCAGAGGTCTGCAAAAAAGTAGCAAAAAGACCTGCCGTGATGAAGTTTTTGAAAAAGTATAACAGTTAGAATTCTAGATAAAAATAGTTAAAACACAAGGTTGGTCGAAGTGGTACTCGAACATTCAGAGTAAGCCGCATAAAAGCTAGAAGAAAGAAAAGAAGAAACTATATATTATATTCATATAATATTATTATATATATTTTGGTAGCCCTTAAGCTCATCAAAATCATAGTTATGAAATATGGCTCTCAACATCAAGCTTTTCCTTGAAACCATAGTTCTACGATGAAATAACTAACACCTACGATTTTTTGGCTTACAAAATACTAAATAAGCAAATCGTGTTCGATAGAGAGAGTAGAGGGCGAGGGTGCGAGTAAAGATTCACAAGGTTTAAAAAATAATTATCTCTGTATTTGATGACTTATGGATACTTTTTTGATTTTATCGTAGGTTATCCAGTACATTAAAAAAATTATAGGTACCTCGGCAGACACCATCATATCTTCATGATTATGTAATATATGGAAAAAAGTAATCAAATGTTATTGAGCTTCCATTTTTAATTCCTAAATAGGACAAAACTCTATTGTGATCAAAACCTGACTTAATAAAAGCTCGTTACAGACCCTGTAACTGAATTTTCTTGTCTATAGATTTTCCGATCCAAGGTAGAGACTTCAGCCCGCCGAAGAAAATTTATAAAATAATGCATAAATTCTCAAAAATTTCAAGCGATAACTAATTTTTAACTATGTAGTATTAGTTTTAATGCATCCATATATAGAAACTTAGGTTTTAAAAATAAAAGTCAATACTCATATGACTATGATTTGAAAGAGTAATCTCTTAAGAAATATAGAAGAAGAGAGACTTAGCCTATCCCTTTGTTCCTTAAACTTCAGATATCCAAAGCCAAATTAGTTAGTTGTTTTTCTGAGTTTGAAAAAAGTTTCATAAAAATCGTTCAAAAAACAAATGATAATAAAATCGATATATTACAATAATTTTTATAATTTCGCGTTCTATTCGTCTCTTGCCTGTTCGTTATGCACCGCTCTCTTGTCTCAACTTATGTAGGCAACAACAAAGTCATCAACCTAAATTCGATACAATAGACCTTACGGATTAGTCTTTAAAGTGGCATAATCAGTTGCTATGCTATCTTATTTTCATTATGTTAGTTTATTTGACTTATACCAGTTGTTGGTATGATTCGCCCATGTAGAGCAAGGAACATCCATTTTAAAGAGATGAATCCGCTTTCTATTCAATCTCATATTGGTTGTGATATTCTATTAAATTTATGACCATGGCTGTTTGATGCATCAAACCGTGGAAAATGTAGTATAGTTTCCTGTTCTATCTTTTCTCAGTTTGTATCACCCATTTGCCTATTACCAGTTGGGGGTTCAATTCGATAAACCCTGGAGAATGGTATAACCTTTTTTTTAGCTCTTATTCTCCTTTTTTCTTTATAATTAAACTTAAATTCGGTCCCCAATATTGCCTTACCTTCCAGGGAGGAGTGGGATAGGGGTGAGGTGAACAAAGACACAGAGATAAATATCTATACGGACGGATCAAAATAGAATTATCGATACCATACACCACTTACTGTAGAAGCTGCCAAGTAGTAGAAGAGACTATGGATCATCTTTTATGCAAACGCAAGGCTTTGTATAGGTTAATAATCGCAACTATTGGTCGAGCGTTTCTTGGCGATGTCTTTTGGAAGTTGAACTTTTTGAATTGATGGAATTCAACAGGGAGATTGAGAGAGGGCATAATAGAGTGAGGGGATGTTAGTTCTGATGGTTTCACAATGGGCCTCCTAAAGGCCTAGATTTATCGTCAGACATCCGCCTTACTTACATATTTATCTATTTATGTCGGACTTCTAAATTTATACCAGTTGTTTGTTCGACTCTGAATTTTTCAAGACTTGACATATACAGTGAAAATCTAGTCTAGAAGTTTTTAATAAATCTACTAACTGCAACTTATAAGCACTAATTCCAAAGTATTATCGCTTGCCTAATACTGCTATTATGCTTAAGTACCTCAATTTGCAACAATTATATTTTTCAACACTACTGTTCTCTTGCAGCTGCTCAGCTCGCTGGCAACAGACTTGGATATTATGCTCAATGACCTGCGCTCATCACCAGGGTCGAGACTACTGCCGCCCACACATCATTTACATCAGCGCAGTGCTTCCAACTCATCCACCGCCTCATCACCGTTAACGGTTGGCGGTGCGGGTGGTGGTGGTAATGCGGGTAGTGGCGGTGGTGTTGCTGGTATCGGTCAGGCTACAACCGGTTATCTCCACAGCGCTTTGCGGACCCACCACAGTAATCAATTTGGCCAACAACAAACGGCCAGTGCACAACGTCAAACAACGCACGTGCAACCCGAGAAGCGGCAGCAACAACTGCAACAACAGTCTAAACCAGCAGCCAAAGTGCAAGTAATACCAGCTGCGGCCACAACAACAATAACAACCACAACGGCAGCTACATCGTCCATACCGCAGCGTTATAATCGCTATCAATACCATAACCAACAACAACAGCAACATAAGCCAGCGCAAACGCATCGTTGTTGCGCCTCATCGGCAAATGCTTGCAATCAAGCGAAAAATCGTAATGCTACAACAACAAAAACAGCAATTGGCGCGACTAAGGTAACCGCCACAGCCTCAACCCCAAAGGCAGCTAAAACACAAACAGCAACAACAACCACAATAACCAACAGCACAACGCGTTATCAGCAGGGCCACAATCCACATGCCACAAACAGGTTGCACACGTCTACAGTCACTACTGCCAGCGCCACAGCGACTAGCGTTGCCCGCTACAGCGACCGCGAAGCGGCGGCAACAGCCGGAAATGTTGCGCCACTTGCTGATGACGCTGCCGCCGCCGCAGTTGCAACACATTGCAGTGGTCTGTCTGCCGAGGTGCGTCGCATAGAGAAACTGCCTTTGTGGTCGTATCAGCACAAACAGTTGCAGCAACCGCAAAGGTTGCAAGTACAATTGTTGCAACAACAACGCGCCACAAAAGCAATTGCCGTCATACATACAGCCGCATCAAAAACAAGCGCTATAACGGGCGCTTCCGCGTCGCTGACGGCCAGCAAACAAGATGTGGTCAGTAGGACAACATATTTGGGTGGCTGTGGCTCGTCAAGCGGAAGTACCGTTAGCGGTGGTGGTCCGTATGGTGCTTCCACACGCCTTGCTGTGGCAAGTGCAGCAACTACGACCAGCGTCACAACCCTCACGACGGCGCAAGTGATGGACTATACACACGTCGATGGTTATGGGACAAGTGGTGGCGGCAGCGATGCATTCCGGTTGAACTGGTTGCAGCCAGCGACAATATTTTTTGGGTGAGTACCAGTGCATAGTTTCATTATATCATATTTGCTAGGTACATTTAGTACGCGGCTGACTTAGTCATTGAGATTTGGCTTCGATATGGATGTTCGTTGTGAAATTCAACGTGGTACTCTTCTTACAAAATGATACTTTTGCGGATTGAGCAGATAGTTGGAGAGTAAAGTTTCCTTTCAACAAGTTTTTGAATAAGAGGGTGACGATGATTTCAACATTCGTCAGAAAAGTTTTGAAAAGAACTTTTAGTATATTTTCTTTCTTATAAAAGTGCTATTATAGGCTTCGTGGGTAATTACACAGTCAAGTCCGTCTTTAAAAAATTTTGTACGAAAACATGACTTCCTATAAAGTCAATGATCCGATCTTTACGGAACGTCTTTGGAATAATTAGCTCTGTGAGAACATACTGAGAAAATCTGACCTACGCCACTTCAAAGAAATACCTAGATTACTCTCATTTTTATTCCTTACGCTGGTATCAAAATAATTTTAAATTTTTTTTTTAATTTTTTTTTATTTAAAAAAACTTTTTCAATTTTCTCAACATTAGTTCAAGGTCTCAGTCCGCTATTTATTTGGTAATGCTTTGCTCATTCAACTATTCAGTTAAAGAAAACCTTATTTATGCTTTACCAGAAAGTGTATACGAACTTTAAACCTTCAGACTGGGCAGAAGTTCCCTATTAAATCTATTTTGGCACTTCATATACTTAGGAATATATATTTAAGCCATAAAGGAGTCCTTACTGGTAATTAAGGTGTCTTCTTCGATTTGCAATTTAATTATATTGCCTAGCTGTAGTTGAAATATCGGCACATTGGTATAATTTAATAAGTTATAGAACGTCTATCATACCAACAAACTAAGGTCAGACTTTGAGACCGCCCGTAATGAAGGCTATAGAGATCGTGACTGTGGATCTGATAAGATGGTGTGAGCAGACGATTTTAGGTCGAATTAGGAGTTGGTTTATGAAATAAAATTTATTTTCCTAAACTCAAAACTATTTTAAGAAATAATACAAAAGCTTTTCTCATAGATAATACTTTAATCCTTCCAACAATATATGTGTACTAAAAATAGCAAAGTGTCAGACAAATATTATCATTTATACCTATACACTCTCCTTATTCCATAAATTTTATTGTCTGTAAAGATATATTTGTAGCCTCAAGGCACACTTTAGTATTGCATGCTAAATCCCAGCAAAGCAAATAACATTCAAGTTACAAATTTAAAAGACTGTGCATTCCGGTTTTATGGCATTTTGGCTCTGCAATAACTTAATGGCCAAGTGACTTAAAGTTCTCCACAGCAAAAATGTGCAAATCTTCCAATTAAACTGTTGAATCCTGTCAACGTGTCCGGCAGCTTGAAGGTACTTCCTTTCCTGCATACTCCTGCGTACTCGGTATGTACCGTACGTGCAACACCAACAATATCTCAAATGATTATTGCACACCTATGCTGCAGCACGTACACTGCTGTTCTCAAACGCTTCACTAAAAGGCAGGCTGAACTATGATAGTGTCCACACTAGTATTAGGGTTGTAAGTTTTTGCGATACTTTCGGGATTTTTGAATTTTCGATAGAAACAGTGACCATATAATGCGTACGAAGCATTTGAGTGAAAAAATGTTGTAATCCCAAAATTGTCGGGCTTTTCAAAGCGAGTTAAATGTCTCAAATCAAGTCAAATTATATAGTGTGTGCTCGTTTGTGTTAATAACGTAAATTTTTGCGAACGTATTCTCATATAAGGCTGACATTCTTTCGAAGTGTCTTTCGGGTTTTTTACGCTGCTGGTAAAGATTTCTGTTCAGGACTGACTAGGCTTTCATAGAGTTTGTTTTTTAATGAATGCAAAGTTTTTCCATTTCTACTTGTAGTTTTCGGGGACTTGTACAAATGAATAATATTTTGAGATATTAAGGAACTAATAATTATTATTTTTTAAATGCGATAATAGTATATGCTTTGTAAAAATTTCGGTATTAGTAAAATACGGGATCCTGAAATTAACATTTTCTGCTTATTAACATATATGTTCATATTAAATACCAAAAATCCCGTAAACCTCGAAATTATTCTTAATTTTCGGGATTGATTTTTGATTTTTATTGAAGCGTACGAATGTAAAAATTCCGAAAATTTTTAAAACTGCGGGCTTGTTGTCAAATAATGTTCGGGATTACAAAAATTATTATACTAAAATTGATAACCGTAGCTCATATACATGTTAATATTTACGTTAAATGCTACACATGCTTGATATGAAATAACTAATACTGATAATCCCGAAACCCCGGGATTACTCTCAAAAAATTGTCGGGATTTAATATTACGAAGTTTTAAAATTAACTTTTACTTTTTACTACGTACTAAAGTAAAGATCCCGTACATATCGGGATTGTTGTGAAATAATTTTCGGGATTATCAAAATATCCTTAAATTGTCAACTCTAGCTCATATACTCGTACATTGTGTAGTGGCGTCCTTTATGAGATTTGCTGCTGGTCATTTACTTTTTATTGCTGCTGGAGCATCTTTTGCCAGCACTTGCAGCTGGCCGCTTCATCGAATAGCTATAAATGCTGGACTATAAGTTTCTAAATGCAATTTTTATAAGCAAATATGCGAGCTTTGTTGTTTGTATGTATGTATGTGTGCATGTATGCGTCCAGCTTTGCTTGACAAAAGCATGTGTTTTTGTACTTGTGTCTGCTTGTCTTCGCTATTATGCGGGCGGATTCTTAATTTTATAGTTTGTTCGGTGTCTTCGCAGTAACTCCACCATTCTCTGCAGTCGATTCTTATCCCTTCATAACTTTTTCTGTATCCAAGCTCCTCGAAGTTTTGCTTTGTTGCTTTTCGTGCTTTTGAATTTTTTATATACTTCCTGCGCAATGATTATCAAAACATATTGTAGACACATGTAGCATTTATTGTTGTTGTTTCCCTTCATAATTGCAGAGTATGTTATTGTACACGAATTTTTATGTTGGGAGACCCGACATGAACGCTTCTCTTCGTGCACCCGACGCGCATTTCGTCTGGCCCAGTTGTTGTTGCTATTGTTATTGTTATTATTAGCTGCATAGTTGTCGCTATTTTTATTGCTTTTGCATTTGTTGCTGGTCATACCCAATTACTTCAACTCCGTTGACGTCTCTTCATCGGTCGTGAAGTTGCTTTTTCGCGCTTGGAATTGTGCTTACATGTCACAGTTACATTTAACCACTACCTGCCCACATCACCTTTAATACTGAGCATACCTTTATTGATTGAAGTTCCAGTCATTCATTTAACGGTTTCGGTCGCTATTTGGACAATGAAGACGACCACAAGTCGTGAGTGAACTATGTCCCTACATGCACAATTATTATTTTTGATTTATTCACTGCAGTGGATAGCTCCACATGTAGTGTAGTAGGTATTCGTTTCAAAATGTTTAAGCTAGTTTGCATTTAGCCCGTTTTGAACCCATTGGTTAACTCCAAAATTGAAAATAAAAGGCATTCTAAAAAAACTGCTATTGATTTCAAGCTGGAATATTCAGCTTTTACGAAAGTCAGCATCTTTTGAGCTTTGTGGTCTTTAAAACAGAATCGAACGAATGTTTTACTACCGTTCGCACGTCTGTCAAATCTACGTAAACGGAACCGATTTCGGTTTATATCAATCCAAGAATTGTCAACTTCCCGGTATACCTTTAAATAATTTGGGGAATGGGGAATCGTTCTTAAGCCTTGTTTATGGATGTTGGCCATTCATCGAAATCTCTCTACAATGCTTATGTTAAGCGCTTGAATATCTTACGATATGCTTTGCTTTCTAGAAAAGGACTTTTGTAACTTTTAAGGCAAAGGAAGCCGAAGCGGAAAATTCGGGACGGTTTTGTTTAGTCATCGATTTTCCATATTATAATTCACTGAAAATCGCGACATATAATTGATGAGAGAGCAACACAATTTTATTCAATTCATTATATTTTTTTAAATTTCTAAGCCCGGGACGGCGGGCTCGCTTAACTCGAATTCTGATTGTCGCATACAAACCGGCACAAATGGTCACCTAAGGTTAGAGTATTAATTAAAACTAAGGCGAATTAAAGAGCCTAGATAGTATTTTACCACAGCTTAGACGATTGGAGTGAAATCAAGGTCCATGCAGGTATTCACGAAATTAATCGCTACAAGATTTATGGATTCGCCTGCATATCTCCATCATCCTCATATGGAATAACTTAAATTTTTGGAATGTTCTTGGAAGCATTCTTTATTTTAGCCAGCGTCCTTATATCCTTTCAAGGCATATAAATTGAAATGTCTTTGAAATTTTTGGTATCGTCGAAGCAGAACCTTTGAAGCTGAGTATTTTTTGGAAATATAGAACATACAGGCTAGTTATAATTACCAGCGAACTAAAAATTAACCAGTGAGAAATCAGCTGATTTAAAAATGGGTTCTCCCTACATCCAGAGCTCTCATTCATGCGCGCTCATCTCCGCTTTTTTAAACTAACTCCAACGGTTATCTATTTGGCTCTCCGTCAACCATTGGTTAGTTACAAACCACACATTTGTTTTTTTGAATTTTGCACTTTTGGTTGCAATAAAATTTATCGCAACGGAAGTGCTTGGACTCAAGTAGGGTTTGCGTTGTTATCACATCACGACGCTTTGTTTTTTGGTGTTTTTATACTTTTTTGCACCCATGTCCGTCGCTGCTGGTCACTGGCTTCGTTAACGTGTGCCAAAAAGTTGTGCTTCCAATCTGATATTTGCTCAGTGATTGCTTAGTCGGTCTCCCCAGCTAACTGTATATTATATTCCAACAAATATTACAAAGAGATATTTATATTTCGACTGATATAGCCACATACTCGTGTACCATCCTGCTCCATGTTTTCCTATGCTGCCATTAAAGCGCAAATATTTATTCTTCCACCAGTGGTTTTCGCTTTGATGACACTTTGGCAAGACAGACCCGCATTGTATGGAACTATTGCTGTTGATTTTAATTAGTACTCAGTTTTGATGAACTAATTTTGGCAGGGATCTAGTGGTGGGCAAAAATGTTAACGTTGCATTATTGCTTCTGCAGTGCAAAAGGTCAATATTTGTTCTAATATGTGATCACTTTTGGAATTTCAAACATTACAATGTTCTTACATAGATATCTAAAATCTTATATTGGTCGTATTGGGATTAAGAATTATTGCTTGTTTTAATGGAGTTCATGACTCTGAAAAATTTTCAAATGAAAAATGGCGGTACAAAAAGAA